AATTCATTGTGATCCTCCTGCCTCAGCCTCCCCGAGTGCTGGGATGACAGGCGTGCACCACCACGCCCCGGCTCACAATTAACTTTTTTTAAATTCAAAAAATTCGTTTTGAATTTTGAGGCAGGCTGGCCTTGAACTTGTGACCCTCCTGACTCAGCCTCCCAGAGTGCTGGGATGACACACGTGTGCACCACCACACCCGGATTTTCTCTGCTATTTTGTCTGCAGGTCAGGCTGGATTTCTTCTTCTTTTGCCCAACTCATGTCAGTGCTGGCTTCTCTCATTCCCTCCTGCTAACCCTGCATGGCCACCCTTGAGTGACTAGAGTTCTGCTGCTCCCAGATCTTTGTCTTTTTCTCTCCCTGCTCCCCGACATCACCCCGCCTTTCCACGCAGACACATCACACTAAGTCACCCACCACCAAACCTGCCTGTCTTCTCCGGCCGCACGGCCCAAGAACCTGCCTTCTGGCAGGTGTCATTTCTGTGGTTCATCATGGATCAAAAACTTATGTGTAGGGCTGGGGGTTTAGCTCAGTGGTGCTGCCGCCTGCCTCGCAAATGCAAGGTCCTGAGTTTTTGGTTTTTATTTGGAGACAAGAGTCTTGCTAAGTTGCTACGTTGCCCAGGGCCTGGAGCGGGGAAGCTGTTGTCACTCTACCCCTGAGCTGTGCGCAGCCCTGTTATTACTACTTTAGCGTGTACTCCTAGTAATAAAAAATGCTTACTGTCAGTACTCTGCCACGTTACATTTCTCTGAAGTGCCTGGCCATTAAAAGCACATGTGACCGAGTATTTCCTTTTCAGAGCACTTTTCTCACCCTCAGTAGGAGGGCAAGCCAGTAGTATACACCTTGGACAGAGTAGCCAGAAAAACAAATACAGTGAAGAATAAGACAAAGTTTGGCCCTGGCCCGTATCTGTGGCCCAGCTGTCCTGCTTCAAGGGTATTTCGGCGAATGTCTTATCAATGTGGTTTTTTAAAAGTCATAGTAGCAGCCCTGAGAGCCTTTGGCCTTGCTGTCAGGGGAAGGGGACAGGGATTCCAGAGGGAGCAAGACTGTGGGACCTCACAGACTTCCACGGAAGAGTTGGCTCTCCTGTTCGCCCTACTGGTGACGGGGAAGAGTGTGGTTGCCACAGAAAAAAGCTAGGGAGCCGGGCATGGTGGCACATGGCTGTAATCCCAGCGCCTTTGGGAGGCTGAGGCAGGAGGGTCACTCCAAGTTTGAGGCCAGCCTGGGCTACTTAGTGAAGTAGGAAGGCTAACAGTGGGGGACGCCGCACAAACAGAAGCCTGGGGACAGGCATGGGGTGCGGGCACAGCTCTCCAAGGGTGGGGGCGGTGGGCTTTGCAAGGACAGGCCTGTTCCCGGAGCGATCCGCTTGGGTGAGAAGGAGGCACTTGGTGGGGTGGTCAGTGAGGGTGAGGAGAACCAGGGAGGCAAATTCCGGGCATGGAACCCTGTGAAGGCGACACCCGAGGGGTGGAAAGGGTGCCAGCAGGAGGGCAGAGGACATCACTGGAGCGTGGCCCTCAAGGCTTCCCCAGGGTAGTGGCAGACTGTGGACCCCTGAGTCTGTACCCTGCAGGGGGTGTGGGCTCTGCTGCTGTCCCGCTAGGTGTCTCTGGACAGGTAGGGTCCTGCGTCGGGGTAAGCCCAGGTGTCCTGGGCTTGCATCTGCCCTGAGTTCTCCAGAATGAGTGAGCCGGGCTGGGGATGCCTTCTGTAGTCTTTTTCTGTTGTTTTGAGATGCCATCTTGCTAAATTGCTCAGGCTGGACTCCAACTTGTGATTCTCCTCACAAGAAAGAGACTGGCTCCCAAGTCCTCTCAGCCTCCAGCTGCATCTCCAGGAAGCCACAGCTGAGACACAGAGAGGATGAGGTCCTTCTTGCCGTTGGGGAAACCGAGGCACAGAGTGGCCCGAGGTCTTAAAATATTAAGTGGAGAGCCGGGATGGGTCCAGAACCCATACCCCGACCCCAGCTCCCTATCCCCTGTTACAGCTTGGGTCTAGATGTCCCCCAAAACCTCATGCAGACATAGATGGGGCTTTTTCAGAGGAGGCTGGGTCTAGTGTGTGTGATGGATTGATGGTGCAATGCGGGGACTGAGGGAGCTGGGATTACGGGTGTGTGATTACTAAATCACTGATTGATTTGGCATCCCCTAATCCCGGTAGCCTGGATACAATATAAGGGACAGAAAGAGGCCGGTCTTGTCCCTTGTCCCTTCTGCAACGCCTGTCTGCCCTGCTGTGGACTGTTTCTCCTCTGCCAGGCCACCCTGCCTTGGAGCCAGCTGAGTATGGACTGAAACCACTGCAAACAGTGAGCTAGATAAACCTGTCCTCCCTTAATTTGTAGGTGTTGGGTATTTTGTCTCAGCAACAAGAAAAGTAGCTCAGATAGCACACAAGCCTCCCGCAGCCAGAAGTATCCAGATTCTTGTCATCGTTTCATAAGGATTTATTCAGCATCTGCTACGTGCCAAGTGCTAGGCCATACCCTAGGGTCTCATCAGGGAATCACACAGACAAGAATTCTCACCTCCCAGAATTTGGGAGGCTGAGGCAGGAGGATCACTGAGAGTTCAAGGCCAGCCTGGGCTACACGGTGATTCGTGGCTAGCTTGGAACACACAGCAAGACACTGTCTCAAACAAACAAAAACAAAGCGAAGTCCATAACAGGCCTGAGGAAGGGACAGAGGAACGGAACAGTAGCTGCACGCTGGAAGCAAGCAGAGTCCCGCCAGTCCACTACTTTGGACCACCCCTCCATCCTGGAGTTGTAGCTCTTGATTCATTGTTTGTCCCTGAGCCAAGGCCCATCCAAGGCAAGCAGGCTAGCTGGGTTGTGGCCCCTGTGCTGCCCTGGGGAATGAACAGCCTTGGCCTTGCCATTCTCTCTTGGCCTCTCAAAGCACCCAGTAGTGGCCTCAGGGCCTTTGTACCTGCTGTTCCCTCTTGCCTAGAATGTTCTTCCTCTGCCCGGTTAATTCCTACTCATCCTTTGCCATCCGGACAACCATCACTTCTTCCAGGAAGCTTTCCCTGGGCCAAGCTAGGATCCCTTCCCCCCAGGCATGGTTCTGTGATATCCTAACAGCCGTCATATACCAGGTGCTCATCCCCCTGGGCACAGTGCTGGCTCTTTGCTCACGCATGAGGGGGTGAATGCTGTTGTACCCATTTTACAGGCAGAGAAACTGAAGCACGAGGTGGTGAAGTCACTGGCCCCAGGGCTGCTAAGTTCAAACTGGTATGACTGGGTTAGAAGTGTTCCCTGCCCGGACAACTGGAAAGGCAGCCTTCAGGGTGCAGGTAAGTGAGGAGCAGACCGCACGGTGCCCACCTTCCTCTGTTGTCCTGCAAGCAGGAAGAGAGGACGCTGGCTCCCTCCTGCTCCCACCCACAATCAGCCAGGATGGCTGTGCCCAAGAGCTTGGTGCATGCCAGGCATGGGATCGACTGGACACGAGATTTCTTTTCCCACCGAGCTACATCCCCAGCCCCCAACCAGACACTTTTACCTCCACTGCACACGGATGACTCCGGAAAGAGGTGGGTGCTTTGCTGCCTTCCTGGGTGGAGGGACTGGAGGCTGCTGGGACCCCTAACTCAGCTCTGGCCCCTCAGGGCCACGGGAGCCAAGAAGATTTGCTAATCCTCTTCTGTGCCATGGTGTCCGTTGACCCATTCACCGGCTTGTGTATTCATTCTTTCTTTTTCCTTATTTACTCAATTTGGGTCCCGGGATTGAACCCAGAGCCTTTGCACTGGGGATCTAGCACTTTTGAAAATGTTTTTATTTTATTTTATTTTTTTTACACTGAGACAGTGTCTTGTTAAGCTGCTAAATTGCCCAGGCTGAGCCTGAATTTGCCATCACACCCAGCTTTGTTCACTCTCGAACGGGATCAGTCCGCGATTCCTATCTCGGGGTACCCCCCACCCAGTGGGTCCAGGTTGCCCTAATGGCGGTCCCTGGCCTCTGTGCTCAGACTGGGGTCTTGGAGAGCTCCTGCCCCATCTCTGGCAACTCCTCTGACAGATTTGGCGAGCCAGGTAGGGACACAGTCTCTTCACACCCCATGTGAGCACATCTGTGTGTGTGTGTGTGTGCGCGCGCGCGCTCTCTCGCATCTAAGTCTCCCCCCCACAGCAATAAAGGCCAACCCCCCAAACTTGCATCTGCCCCGCTCAGAAATCTCCGCCGCGTCTCTTTCCAGCAGGCTGGAATCTCGAGGGTGCATCTCCTCCGAAATGAATTTCTACTTGGCTCGCCGTCTAGCACAACTTCCAGCCACTTCCAAGCTACGTCTCTTTCCAGCTCTCGCACACACCGGGGCTGCCAGAGCCGTTCCTTAAGACACGATCGATCGGATCGCTTTACCCACTCTACAGACCTCAGCCCTGATGAAGTCCTAGGGTCCCCTCGCTGTCTCCAGCCTCTCCCTTCCCTCGGCTTCCCCTGGCCCCTCTCGGCACCGCGCGCCCAACTGAGCCCTGCCCCGGCCTCGCCTTCTCTCCTGCGGGGCAGTGAGGCCAGTCTGCACCTGGTCCCAGCATCCTCCCCTCTCCCTCGTGGGGGCTCCGCCCGTCCTCCGTGTCCCACTGTGGTCGGCTGGGGTGATGCAGCTCTCCGGGGCGTCTACGCAGCCAGGCTGTGGGGCGTGCCTGTGGCCCCCACCCTGGCACGACGGCGGCACGGATTCCCCATCGGTGACAAGATTCCCCGGCTTCGGGATTCCCGCGCCCCATCCTCCCGGGTCTTGGGGACCGCGCCCTCGG